CTACTTCTACTACTACTACTGCTACTGCTACTGCTACTACTACTACTACTACTACTACTACTACTACTACAACTACTGCTGCCACTACTACTACTACTACTACTACTACTATTACCACTACTACTACCACCACTACTACTACTACTACTACTACTACTACTACTGCTACTACTACTACTACTACTACTACTACTACTACTACTACCACTGCTCCTACCCCTACTCCCATTCCTACTGTCGCTCCTACTCTTACTCCGACTCCTGCTCCTACTCCCACTCCCACTCGTACTTCTACTTACTACCACTACTACCACCCGCCACCCGCCCTACCAACCACCTGGTGCATAAGCCCATCATCATCATCATCACCACCATCATCATCATCGGTGGTATTGACTACAACATGTAAATACTGAGTTAAATGGATGTGCTCTTAAAAAGTACATCGTCATGACCCTCCGGCCCCCCCGCCATGAGTTGGTCGGGGGGGGGCGCGACTACCACGACTACCACGACTTCCACGACTTCCACGGCTACCACGACACCAAGACTTCCGTGACTACCACTACTACTTACCAGACTACCGCGACTACCCCGGCTACCACGTCTACCGGGACTACCACTTCCACTTCAACTTGTACTTCTACCACCACGACCACGACCGCGACCGCGACCGCGACCGCGAACGCGACCACGACCACGACCACCACCCACCACCACCACCACCACCACCACCACCACCACCACCACCACCACCACCACCACCACCAAGACCACCACCGCGACCACCAAAAACTACTACATCCCATTACTTTGATTACCACCCCGCCTACCGCTGCCACCGCCTCACCATCGTCGCGGCCAGCTGCCACGGCAGCACCAACGCTACTGCCGCCTCATCCTTCCCGCTACCCCGATCTCGTCACCACCACCATCATCCTGCAAACAACGGACGATGACGTCGATCATCTTCGTTGTGATGATGATGATTCTTGTAATTCGTTTATTTGTGAGCATGAGGGCTATTGGCATGGTGGTAGCCAGATGTAGTCCAGACGTTGTCTACCTCTTCCCTCAGCGCATAGCAAGCGCTGCAGTGGCCGTCTCAGTTTCAATGCTGTCGTGCTGGCTCCAAGAGTTGGGACGCCGTTCCCTTGTGCCGCTGCACGAAGTTGGGACGCGATTTGTGATGCGTCTTGCTGTAGGTTCGTTTTATCCGCAATTCGGTCGGAAGCACAGCCTGGGCCTTCCGCGAAGGCGCACGAATGCGCGTGTCCGAGCGATGCGGAGTATAAAACGGGTGGGTTCTCTGCATTCTCTGCTATGTGGCGCCACAGGCTACTCGTAGCGTTGTAGCGGCGATGCTTGGAGCTGCGACAGTTTGGCGGCCCTTAGGCTCCTTCCATGTGCAGGGCATCTTTAGGGAACGTACACTTGCAAAGCCAGCTCCGTCCTGTGCCACATCGCCAGTTGGCCCAACGCAGATTTGGGGGACAATCCTTGGGACGGAGGCTAAGATTCTAAAGATGTGCGGGCTGTGTGTAGGACGTAGGCATAGGGCCTGCCTGTCTGTCATCGAGCCGGTGCGATTTCAAGTCTTGTTCAGTAGAATGCACCGTAACCCATTGCAAGCGAAGCAACTCGGGCATCTGGCCGTCCTTGCTATGAGCTCATGGCGTCTCTTCATATTGTGTGGCGTTGCTGTGTGCGGCCAAGACGAGGATGTTCAAGAAGAACTCGGCAATGGCCTGTGCTGGTACAACAGTCTATTGCCTATTGAGATAGCACAATGTGACGGTTTTCAGCCTTTCTTCCCAGGACAGCTTGCTTTTTCCGAGTCGTTGCTGCTGCAATGCTGAGGTGATCGAAGCTTCCATCGCTGCTGCGTTGAAGCCGACCCTGATTGTTGGAAAGGCATCTGGATTATTGAGGAGCTTTGCTGCCATCCTCTCACACAGCAGCACCTTGAATGTTTCGCCTCCATAGAGAATCGTGTGGAAAGGAAGCTTAGCACTCTGAAAACACTTCTGGATCAAGCTGACGAAGCAGACTACCTACAATCAGCAGTTTTCAGCTACGAGGTGTCGCTTGCTCAGCCACTTGGAATGTGGGCATGGGCATGCAGTGTGCCTGACTCGCCCATGATCTGGAGCCCCAACTGTGGCTGCTGCGAGCCAGCGGAAGTTTACTGTGAGGACAGATCCCTCCGACCCCCTGAGGAAGAAATTTGGGACGAGTTCGCCCGCTGCTGCTTTCCTGTCTACTCGCGGAAAACCTTCGCACACCTTCCGGATGATCTACGGGAAAGCATGACCTCTCAGCTTGAAGCCCTGAGACCACGCAGGGACAGCATAGTAAAGCGGGGGCCGCAACTGCACTGGGACCTAAGCACGGAAACGCATGTCAACGGTTGCCTGATCTCAGTTCATGAGGATGGGACCGTGTCATCATGTCCAGAGAGCCATGCTTGCCACGGATTTGACTGCTCATACTTGCGAGCTGTCCTCCTTGCCTTGAATGTTATCCAGTCGACGAGGCCTCTGCCCAAATTGAGCTTCGTTTTAAATGCCGCCGACGACGTGGTGGACCATGCTCTTCCCGAAGTGCCGGTGTTTACTCGGGTGGCTCTGGCTCAGTCTTTATAGCCCGAGAAAGGTAGCCAGTTTAGGAGCACCACAACACCAGTTAATGTATGTCGTTCTCCAGGTGGGGACGCGCTGGACCTCCACGATCGTGCTGCCTTCCGAGTGGCAGATGCACCCCGCGCAGTGTCACCGAAAGTTGAAGGAGGGCATGGTGGCGATGGAAAGGTTTAGATGGGAGGACCGAAAAGCGGTCTTGATTTGGCGAGGGACGCATTCGAACCTCTGGGCTGAGGATTGCAAAGCAGCGCCTGTTGCAAGAGACCCGGCAATGATGGCGAAATGCGTGACTTTGCCACAGGGCGAGAGGCAGCCGGTTTGGAATTTCACCACATGGCTGCAGCTGCCACGTGGTCGCCTAGTCTGGCTCAGCCGCTTCGTTCCTTTTATTGATGCCAAATTTGTGGAGTCTTCGACGGTGTACCGGATGGCGGAGGACTTAGAAGAGTTCTTGCGGGATGAGGAGCTGATCGCCCCACGGATTCAGTCTGAGGCATTTGGTAAGTACAAGTATCAGATTGCCATCGAGGGCAATTCTGCTGCTGATCGACTGTCCTGGCAGCTCTTCATGGGTGCCCTGGTACTTATCCCAGACCAGCCTTGGCAACTCATGGCACCAATGAATCTTCTGCAGCCATGGGTCCACTTCGTCCCGGTGTCGTGACCCTGCAAGAGTTTCGTGCAGAGATGGTGCCATTATGCGCCATCATTTCAGGTGCTTGCAAGGGCAGACTCTGCCAGGTATGATCTCAGCGACTTGGTGGATCGTCTGCTTTGGCTCATCGCACACGATGCGGAAGCAAAGATCATTGCCCAGAATGGCCTTGTTTTTGCGCACCGTAGCGGCCACAGCGCTTTCAGTTGCGTTTGTAGGCATTCTCCAGCAGACTCAAAGATCTTCCCACCAAGGTCACTTGACTTGTTCCTTGGCTGATTATTGGTGACTGGTGTTGCCAGGCTTCACAGTAGGGTCGGTCCCTTCGTGTTTGCACTGAGCAATGTTCTGATGCTCATGTATTTCGTCCATTCCCGGTGTTGCGGCGACTTCGGACCTTCAAATAGGAGCCCTCCCACAGAAAGTTCGTTCAGTCTGCACAGACTGACTTTGGCGTTCCTGAGCCTTGACACTTGATGGGAAGCATGCCCATGCCAGGTGACGACTACATCCACTACGTCGACCGAATGCTTCGAACGCCCCTCGACTGCCTGTGGCACTACAACCTTTACTCGATACGCATATTTAAGACTTGCAATGCTTGCGATGCGGGTACCTTCATGCTGCGGCACATCTGCATAACGAGTCTGACACGCCGGTTCACTGCGTCTCCAAGGTACGCAGAGAAGCTGGAGGAATGAGACCTTCGCAACGGAAAAATCGATCGAGCTCCACTCTTGCGTGCAGGATATATGGCCGAGCCCTGGGCATAGTCCGCGTCGTACCTGCGTGTCGAACACTTGAGGCGGTGTGCAGGCACAGGTTTGATTGGGCTGGCAGCAGCGTTGCCGCAGATCCACTGTCGAGCACCTGCCTGTGCGCAAGTGGCACTTCACGCGGAGTGGTAGAGCTCCTGTTGCCACATTTGGGTTCGATTCAGCCGAGCGGGCCGAGCGTCGGGGCGCTGTCCGTGTCGGGCCTGGCCACGAAGATGGATTCTCTAGCGCTCCTGACGAGGAGGCAGATTCATCGCCACTTCTCCGATGTACCTCGGCCTTTTATTTTCTTGCGAGCGCAAATTTGCAGAGCTGGGCAGCATGGCCACAACCCAGTTGAAGCAGACTTCGAAGGTGCAGTCTGCTAGTCCCGCTAGTATGCTTAGTATGCTACGTCTGCTTCGTTCCGGAAGTTGGCTCTGCTTCTCGGATAGGCATTGGGCATACGTGCATTTCTATTCTGTCCGACTATGTGAATCTCCGCCTCCAGCGGCAATTTGCCGATACAGAAAAGGCAGAGTGAACTGGGGTCAGGATGGGCCTTCAAAGCCACTGCGTGTGATTCTGGCACCCGCCGTCCCGGCTCAACAGTGCCTTGAAGTGTCACAGGCAAACTGCTACAGCAACGCAGGTGCGCACCTGCCGGACGAAAAGTGCTTCTCTGCCTGTGGATTCAACCTTCATTACAGTGAGCAGAGAGCTTGCGATGCCAAGTCTCAGCAATGTGATGGCCTGTGCCAAGCTAATTGACCCCCTGCACTTGCTGTTTAAGCCTTTCCAAAAGCAGGCATGGCAATCGCAAATGCTCTTGAACAACCTAGCAGCCTAGCATCCTCAGAAGTGAAATTCGATCGCCGCCGCAGTCGAAACGCATGTGCGCACATTGTGCGTTGATTGTAACATGTAGCCCAGGATCCTAGAATGCCCTGAATCGCGTCGATGGCAAGTTCCCACGCACGGCTTCAGCCATCTGGGTCCTCTCACCATGAAGCAGGCGAGACCCGAAGAGCATTCTCCTTCGGTTAGGATGAATTGAATATCTCGCTTCGTAAGGCGCTCCGATGGGCTGCAGAAGAGCTTCATTTGCTGCTAAACCGCCCGGACGGGGTCTCAGATATTCTCCACTCTAATGTCGCGCGACTGTTGTTCCTCACACGCTGCCGTAGCTTAAGAGCTTCACGTTGCCATCGGCAGTTGCACAGAGCCAGGCAGGCTCCTGCGCCGAAGAGTTGCTGGCCGCTGAGAAGGCAAAGGAAGCGTGTTCTGGTCTCTGCTTTGCATGTCGTCTACTGCAAGTCTTGTTCAAGAGATGTCCTGCGTGAGTGTGTGTGTGTGTGTGTCGATTTGCACAGTCTTGGACCGCAAGGCCAGTATACAGTATACAGTGTCCAGGTTGGGTCAGAGACGAGCCATCTGAAGATTACAGGCTTGTTGATAGTACTTGTATGTTGTGTTGATGGTGTTCAGCGGTCAGGGAAGCCATGATAAGGGTATTCCTCAAGATGCATGCCTTGCTAATTTTGGTGTGGGTTCGCCAGCTATTGCCTTGCCAAGGGGATGCCTGTGTCGCTATCTTGTCTTGGAACTATGAGTGCAGGGCATTGCATTCGCCCTGTGGGTGGAGGACCCACCTCCCTGAGTCCGTGATGCTGCTGCTGCTCTTGACCGTGCCACCCGTTTGAACCACCCATGCTACCTTTGAGTGTTGCTGGTTAGCACCACGTCAGTGTCCCGTAGGCTGGCGACAGGAAAAATGTCGCATGCATCTCTTACTCTTTCACATTGATTGATCATTGTTTCCAGTTTTTGTCTGGTTCCGCTGTCGATGTTGCCAATTCAGCAACGTTGACGCTCTTGCAGCTTTGAAGGAAGCGTGGCTAAGTCCGGCATGTTTGCGGCACCTTTCAGGCCTCTGCCTCTGCGGGATCTGCAGATGAGCTGGCAGAGGCTTGTTTTTTCTGGTGACTGGCAGTAGAGATTTCGTCTTTGGATGCAACAAGCGATGTCACTGCCGAGGCGAGCCTGGCCATTGCCGAGGCTGACTCTCAGCCTGTGTCAAGCAAGAGGAGTCAGTGAGAAGCTGCGGAGATTCTCTCCGCATCTCCGCAGGCGACCTTGTCCACGAGGGGACCGGGGAGCAGCTTTGAGGAAGCCCTGAAGAAGGCATCCGCGCGCCGGGCGGCAGCGCGCACTCGTTAAACTGCTGTCTGTCTTCAGGCCCGCGAAGCAGCTTCAGATGTGCGGCTTGAGGCCAGACAGCCGTTGTCAGTGACAAACCGCATCAGCGTCTGCCATCTGCCCTGGTGCAGGGACGCACGTTGCAAGTACAAGCCCGCGCAGCCTTGGCAAGGCAACGGCCAGACCAAGCCCTGGAGTTTGCCATGAGCATGCTCGAACTCCAGGGGAACCTCCCACATGAGCCTGAGCTGCGGATCCTCGCAACAGGCATCGTCTCCATTAGCCAGCGTCAAGCTGGCAGGTTTGCTGAAGCGATTGCAGCCGCCCAGCGAGTCCAGCAAGTCGAGTCCGAGCCGAAATCCAGAGCCGAAGCCATCGGGTGGCTTCTGTCTGCGAGTACCTGGTTGTCTTCTTTGCCATCATCCAATAAGCCACGATCCTTGATCCTGGTGGATACAGCATTGCGAGGGAGCGAGGGCATCAAAGAAGCACCAGCAGAGCTGGCGGAGGCTGCGGCCAAAGAGTGCCTGCAAGCCTCCCAGAAGCTTGGGTGCAATGCCCTGCACGCCGCTGCGCTGGACCGCCTCGTGGAATCGCTGCTTCGGCAGGGTCGAGCAGAGGAGGCTCGGCGCATTTGCGAGGAGGAGGCGTTCTCCGCCCGCAAAGGCCGAAGTCGCTCAGAGGCTGGTGCCCTCGCTGCCCTGGTCTCTGCAATGCAGCCCCGGCCTGGGGATGACACCGAATGCCGTGACATCATGCAAGTGGTGGGCCGTCTCCGCACGCTGGGTCGGGAGGGAGAGGTGGCGCAGATCAAAGTGTCACTGCTGGCGGCGAAGTCTGTGGCTGAGAGCGTGGCGCTGAGCTGTGGCTTGCAGGTCTCAGATAGGCCCAGGGGCGGATGCAAATTAGGACTTGGTTTCGTTGCATTTTTCACAACTGATGTCGATCTTCGCTGTGCTGCTCGGGACCATCATACCGACTAATGATGCCGATGCTTGTACTTGCAGCGCCTTCTTTCTCAGTAGTTGTTCCAGCTAGAAAGTTTGTTGTGCCGAAACCCGAGTTGTCTAGCCCGGAGATTGGGATCGTTCAGAGGCATGACCTTGGTCGCAGCAGATGTAGCTAATGAGCAATTAGCCTATAGCGAGTTGCTCTCCAGTGGCAGAAATTCTGAGGATTTCGGGGACTTTCAACAAGGTGATGAACGTGCTGAGATATTATATGCTGACAAACCTGTGCAGCCTGTTATCGTTCGCTTGTAGCACGTGGCTTGACGCCAACCTCGGAAATCACAAAAGGAGACTCTGGAGATATTAGCCGCTCTTGAGTCTCGAGACTGAACAGCAGGTTCAAAACTGCCCAGGTGCGGACGTGGCGGAACCGCCTGCCGGTAGCTTGGATGCCGCAGCGTCCCACGCCCAGCGGGCGCTCGTCCTGGCACGTCGGCACAGGGACTTTGGGGCCGAGGCCGGAAAAGGGAGCCGCAGACCGGTACTGGCAAGCCCTGGTGCCTGGGAAGGCGGAGGCGCTCAGGCTCCTGACCCGACTCCACCGGCAGATGGGTTTGGAGCCTCCGCGTCGCTCAGAAGAAGAAGCCGCTCCTTGCAGTTGTATGCAGTTGTGTAGTTCTGGCAGCAAAGGTTCGGAGCTTCGCACTGAGATTCTGTCGGAGCTGCGTCGCGCCCCGAGGATACAAGCGTTTTTTTAATCCCAACGCACACTTTTGGTCCTCGCCAAGGATCGGCTGTCCTTGAAGCGGAGAAGGCCTCTGATGCCGCCCCGGTCAAGAGGGCGCTGCACAGCCTCAGAGAGAATGGCAAAGAGGCACCTCCTTGTCTGCTCTCGGGGTGGGGGGCGATGGCGTTCTCGGGAGCTGGCAGGTGGAGTCCTTTCTGTCGCCTGCAGACCTGACAAAGGTCGGTCACGCAAGTGCTGAGAGCCCCATGCCAAGAGCAACCGAGCGCTTTCGCCCTTGCAGGTCCTGGAGCCTCTCCAGCCTCGAGCTTAGCATTGCAGAGCCGGTCACAGCAGGGTGTTGAATTTGCCAAGCTGCACTTCCCGGTGGAGGTCTTGGATGCCGGAAGAGCTCGCCGCCGCCTTTCATTGCAGTGCCGTGTGCCGGCGGCTCTGATGCTGAGTGCAAGGCTCCTGCGATGCTCCTGGCCGGACAAAGTTCCGAAGGTCAGCGGCTCAAGACATGTGGCAGAGGGTTTTTGTCGGCTTAAGACGTGTGGTGTTCAGAGCCTTTGTTTGGGAGGTCAGGGATCTGCAACAATGGACCCACAGCTAGTGTACGAGCCCCAGAGTCAGATGACACGTCGGCGTGAAATAGAAGCCACAGTCTTCTTAGGATGGTGGAGATTGGCCACAAGCCGATGTACAGCAGTGTCGGGGATGGGCTCTAAGATGCCGATTGACATGTGAGACAACTTACTTCATCATAGCAGCTTGTCAGCAAGCTTCAGGCTGGTGGAATTCAGTATGGCCCAAGATATCGCCAGGTCCGGGGTGCTGACCCTACCCATTGCGCAGCTGCAACTTTGGATGCAAACACATGTCGGCATACCGAGGGTATCGGCCTCCCGGATCGGCACAGCCTGACAGGGGCAAGTGGGTTACTGAGTGTATTCGAGCTGATGCGAGTTGTGTTTCACCGTTTCAAAGAGAACGCAGGCCGGCCGTTGTCGCAGTGCTCCGGACATCCTCAGCTGCAGAGGCCTGTGCCACTTCGTCTTTCTTTTGTTTGCCCGTGATCACATCACCATGGCAGGAGTGGGAGGCGCGAGTGCCAAAGCCCCAGAGTTGACACAAGAGAGTAATTTCGGACGTACGTTGATGCTCAAACAGTCAAACAACTAAGCATCCGAGCGAGCGAGTGCGTGGAGTTCTGAGAGACGAGAGCATTTGCAGAACGTGTGCTCCGGTCGTTTGCAAAGACTTCACCAGGAAGAACTCGGTTTCAGCAGCAGCAGTCTGGCAGCCGTGCCCTTCGTGTGTTCAGAGCCTAGCAGGCCTCACCTTCGAAATGCTGTTGTTCCCTTGTTCGGATTGTCGGATTCGCCGGTTTTTTGGCAGCGTGGCTGCTGCCGGTAAAGTTTGAGAGTCATTACTGAGTCAGTCACCTTTACCGACCATGCTGAGCACCTCTGCCTCAACAGCTCGTTTGGTTCTCTCCAACTTGCCCCCCTGGTGCGATCACACCGATTACAAATGACGTGAGCTCATTTTGCCGAAGAGTGTGGTCGACCCGAGGTGGGATTGGACACCGCCACTTGTTGATGCAGCCGCTCACTCCTCTTTCCTGTTTGCGCAGTAGCTGGTGTGTCTATCGTTTACCATGCGCGATCAGAAAAGGTCTGGCCCACGCTGTGGCTTCATGTTCCTGTGTAGGCGTGCTTTGGGTGCTCTTCGGCTCGCAGCCAACAAGCCGTTGGGTTTCCATACCTTCTACAGCATCACTCTTGTTAGTTGGTAGGCACGGACTTTGACTTTGCATAACACTTCAAGAAGTGTGGCATACTACAAGGCTCTGCCCCCGCATCCCCGAATGAACCCCCCAATGCCATTGGCGCCTGAGCTGATGTGGGCGCAGCGGACTCCTTGTCCGACGTGGCCGACTTGGAGTCCAACTCCTTCCCAGGCGAGCCGACCAGGTCCCAGCCGGGCGGGTAACCCAAAGTGGTCCCTTTCGACCGGTGTCGCGCTGGGAATCGGAGCGCACATCCGCTGCCGTGCTCACAGCCACATCGGCCACAACCGCGACCTGTCTCCGCTTCCTTTGCCCTCCGACTCCTGGGCACTGGTCACGGGCGCTGCGTCGGGTCTAGGCCAAAAACTTGCGACAGCCTGCGCAGAGGCCGGAGTCAGCTTTGGGGCTCAGATTCCTATGAACTTACTGTGCTCGGTTTAAGAAGTGTTGTTGCCGTAAATTGCAGTGTAGAGATGTTGCTGTGACACGGTGCTCTTCCATGAGCTGTACATCTGCGTTGCAGGTGATAGTAGTAGCCTGTTGGAAGATGGGGCAAACCGCGCATGAAGTAAGCGGTTCAGGGGCACTTCGAAAGTCGTCGTAGTAGCCGACGCTGCGGTATTTTGGAGTCGATGTGCAGAAGAAGACTATACTGCTGTCAGCATCAGCACACATCTGCGAGCAAACGTTGCTACGTAGGCCTTATTTTCAAGAGCCCCTGTAGTCCGGCATCAGCAGCGAGAATAAAATGATACCACTTGCCTTGAGAAGTTTCTTGAGACGATCAAAGCCGAGCCGAAGTCTCATCGCAACGACGGCCCGGCTCTCGAGACTTAGAGTCATCTCCAAGCCGTGCCGGCAGTCCAGTGCCAAGGGCACTAGGAGTCCCTGTCCGCTGTCGTTTAATTGCAGCATTTGCAAACAGGCAGGCTTTGGCCTTGTACTCACCGACGAGGAGTCAGCGCTTCAGAACCTGGACCTTGCGCAGATCGCAGGGAGCAGTACTTCGGATCGCATCCTCAGGGTACCAAGCAGCCTCGCTGACCCTTCGGAAGGGGCATCAGACCTCTACGAGAAGCTGAAAGAATTGGATGTCTGCATGTTGATGCTTTGTTCAGATCAATTTTCTTACACGGGTCCGTTTCTGAGCCAAAGTGTGGAGAAGCTGGACCGCATGCTCGCTCAGAACGTTGGGGCAACCGCGGCCCTCTGCCGGCTCTTTGCTTCCGACATGGTGCGGGCGAAGCGTGGTCGGATCCTGCTGGTGGGGGCGCCGGCAGGATCAACTCCGGGCATTGCAGGCGCCTGTGCGTTCGCAGGTTCGATGGCCTTTGTGCGATCCCTAGCAGATGCTTGGCCTAAACAACCTGACCACTAGTCCCGTGACGTGTGTCCTGCTTGGGGTCCATTGAGGATGGCTTGGGCAAGGAGCTTGCCGACCAGGGCGTGGGGATTTCTTGCCTCGAGAGCTCATCGCTGGGCCGCGATGGGTCTCTCACGGATGCCTTGGCATCTACATGCGTGGGCTTCCTGATCGAAGCTGAAGCTGAGACACCACCGCCAGCGCCAGCCACATCATCGTCCTCGGAAGCCAGAGTGGCTCCCGGACAAACCGACGATGCTTGATTGCATTCGTCCGCAACTATCCGAAACGGAAGGAATCTGTGCTCAGCTTGTGCTCAGCTGTTTTGTTTGCTCCACAGGTAGAGCTCGAGGACAGTTGGAATGAAGAATACCTTAGGCCAGCGACAGTTGGAACACACTGTTGTGCAGCAGTCAAACGCGTCTCAGGTGAGATAGCTAAAAACACGTAAAGCTCGATGCCAACAAGATGAACACCAGGCTGGCAAAGGAAGAGAACTTCAAGCCTTTGCCTTATGCCGTCGGCGCCTTGGACATGCTGTGCTGTGAAGAGCCTTGTGTCTGGGACGACGACTATGCTCAGAAATTGTCCTGCGCCACCAGGCAGAAATCGATCGTTTGCAACACGCACCTCTATCAGAAATCTCCAATGCACTCCTCGCAGGCCGTGTGCCTAGGAGCTGAGCTGACCCGTAGCTGAGATCCAAATACCGCATCCCAGCGCCTTTTGGCAACGAGGCTTGGCCTGCGCCATCTATGTGGTGGCACGGTCGCCGTGTCCCAAGCTAGCCCAAGGAAGAATCGCTTGCGAGTGCTTATCTCTGAAAGGCCCGGAATCACGGAGGGTACCATCCGAGTCTTGGCCGCGCCGTGGCCACAGCTCTTTTTTGGCTTCGTTTTGTCAAATTCTCGAGCCTGAGGGCAGCCTCTTCGATCAATGCGTTGTTTTTCCTGGATTACATGGCTCGAGACACCCTCAGCACACAACCGCTCTCGCTTTCAACGTGCTTTCAATTGGCAGCGCGTGTAGATTCTGTATCTTGGGCTGCAAAGGATGGTGGTGTCGTGGTATGAGCTGGCAGTACCTATTGAATCCGCTCATGTTTCTCGATCTGCAATATTCGGTACAGCACTATATGTGCAATTTGCGAAATCACAATTGTTATCCAAGGATAGTTGACCTGATTGGTGTTCTGCCGTTTCTGCTTCGGCCTTGGGTCGAGGACTCAGAAGCATGTTGCAGCGTTATGGGGCTTTATGCTGCAATTGTGTCCCTGGGGAGACTCTTGAGGTTCCCTCCATCAGCTCGGTGGAACTCAACTTCCTGAAGCTGATTCGCGTCCTGAGGATCTATCGTTCCTTGACTGGAGGGAAATTCGGAGCAGCTGAGAGCTTTGGGATGCAGAGGGCTCGGCTAAGGCTTCTTCCGGCCGAAGGTGCGCTTTCAGTGCACATCGTCACCGTCCGTCCATCTTCATCCTGCGATGTGCATGGAACAACAACATGCAGATCAATCGAAATGCCAGCAAGACAGAATGTGGATGGAAGCCTTTGCCAGGCTTTCCGGAGTTTCCTGCAGATCCTCATCGGACCCGATCAGGCATGGGAACATTCCTAGCGGTTCTAGCTCTCTGAACGCCTCACGGCAGGCGAAGCCCTACGAGGATGGCCTCCGAGGAGTCAAGTCCTACCAGTTGCAGGCCACTCTTGAACTTCCTGGTACTTGTAGATTGTAGATCCATGGAGCCAGAGGTCTTCCGAACATTCGGCGTGGTCTTTACACTGATCTTCGTCACCGCCGGGTGGGATGTCGCACCGAGCCCAACCGCAAGTCTGCTCTGCTCAGACTTTACAGGTTGTGCTACGAAGCCGAGCATACGGTGAATCCGCAGTCTGCTTCTTACCGGCCAGGGTGTGTCTGGCATCACAACAGCCACAAGTACGTATTCTGGCCCTGCTGCCCTCTGGAAGGTTTGCAGACATCTTCTCGTCTTTCTACTTTAGTGTGATTGCACTCTCCACGGTCGGGTTCGGAGACATTGAGCCGATGACGTGGGCACCTCAGCAGTCGAGCCCGCTTGGGAACGGAGAGACCGGAGAGCAGCCCTATTCTGCCGAGGGCTGCCGGACGTCTCGATGGAGCCTTGGGATGCGGTTGTTCAGGTGGGACACGGCTCCTCTGCCTAGATGTTAGGTCATCACGGTCGCCATCGTCGTGGGGCTTTGCCTCATTCCATCTGAGGCATCGCTTTGAGCAGCATGAAAGTATTTGCCATGCTCGGAAACACAACCGTGCAGGCATCGCTCGTAGCTGGACCCTAAGTGAAGCGAGATCAGGCTGAGCGGCTGCTCGCTGCAGAGTGATCGATCCCTCGAGGCCACTGCCATATCGGAAGAGCAGAAGAAGCTCGATGAAGCGGAGGCGCCTCGGGGGAAGAGCGGAGAAGCCAGACAAGACACACAAACGGGTCTGATGTGCATCTTGGAGCTGCTTTCTGAAGATTTGGAAGTTTCTGCTTTCAGATCCTTCATTCATGATAATTAGTCATGAACCATGATGTTTCAAGATTTGTACTCGAATCTTGAGCATCTTGCCGCCGTATGCGGCTAGATACCAGCATCTGACATGTGTCGCACGCACGTAGGCCACACAGTTCTTCTCAATCGGAGTTGCGTTTAGGTTTCTTGATATACGTGACAATGCTACAAGTACTTTGGAATTACACCAATAGAAGCACGACATTATACAGCAGTGGATGGCAAGGACACTGCCCACTAGTACCGTATGATATCCTGAAAGACCAGGGAAGACACAGGAGCAGTGCTTCAATGCATCATCAATGCATGCATCATGCCTACTGGCCGTAGCCAGCCAAGCTTTGCTCTTGCCGCCTGCAGGCAGAGCTGGCTCTGGTCGGCCTCCCTGCCTGTTGTTTGTTGGGAGTGCAATTTCTGTGTAGGTTGTCACGACTGCATTCTTGAGAGTGGCCACAATGACACAAAAGCTGCCTCCGTACAGTAGCAACAGCAGGGTTAATCGGGACGAATGTGGTCGTTTTTTTGGTTGAAGGCCCCCCATGCACCAGAAAGTTTGCATCTGGATCCTAGAAGTGCTTGGGAGCCCTCGGAACAAAACATCAGACATTAAGGTCGTTTGTGTTGGTTCTGCTGTTAACAACCGTCTGTGGGATGCAGTGCCCCAGTAGCATCTCGGCCTGCCAGCTGTAGAGATCTTGGGGATCCTGGAAGGCTCGTTTACACTTGGTACCAAACGAGCCCCGATTGTTGAAAGCCATGACGCAGCTACGAGCCATTCAGAAGATCTTTCGGCAACCACAAGCACAAGCACGACATTTGGCAGAAGGTGAGTCTTGGAGAAAGGACTGGGAGGGTGACTGGAATACTCTTAATTGAGCTGTGCCGGTTCGGGCAGGAAGCGGTCCCGGCTTGTCTTCCTCCAAGCCCGGGGTATGTTTTTTTCCGTTGTAGCGGTCGAAGAGCACACCCTCATCCTGCCATATCAGACAGCGCCAGTGCATGTGGGCTGCCACAAAGAGTTGGATTTCGCCTCCGAGGCCGAAGCAGAGCGAACTCGAGCGCAACTTGCGTGGGTTAGGCTCTGAGCGAAGGAACCTCGCCGAGAAAGTTGGGTCGAGGCCGAGAGTGTCTGTGCCCAGGATGCAGCCCGCATTGCGGAGCTGGAAGAGACCGAACGCGAGGAGCGAGCACGCGCGAGCCTCGGAGAGAAAAAAGCTTCGAAGAGGCTGCTTGCGATCGCTTCCAGGTCTCATGGAGCTGGAGGACCGCCGCTTGAAACATGAGCCATCGCTAGATCTGCAACGGGGGACAGGCTTGGTTTGGCCAGAGAGGAGAGGGCTGCTGGCTCAGACGCCATGCTTTCGTGCTTTGGGCCGCAGCTTTCAGCTTTGCCTTTGCCTGAGGCAGGGATTCAAAGAGTCCGGGGGATGAGACCCAGGGCTGACTGCCAGGGGCTGCAGTTACACGTCCGGTTTACGGACCCTAGCCCCGTAGTCGTGCGTGGAAATGGCAACGTTCCAGCGTTCCGTAGGATTCGTAGATATGAGCAAAGGTACTCATTGTACAAGTTGCTTGGAGGAAAAGTAGCTTCTTTGATGAGATGTTGTAGCTTTTGTTCCGGGCCGATGCAAGTGAATCTGCGGCATGCGATACTCCAGACGTGTTGAGACTTCCTGTTCCTGTGTCGAGCATTGATTCGCATGTTCTCGACGCGACAGCTGTTCTTTTGTGCTTTGAAGCACTTGCATCACAAAGGAAAGACCCCACCGACGCACTGCCGAGAGACACAGCCTGTCATTGGTGCATGCAGTCCACCGATACCCTTAGCCCGGACAGAAAACAGCCAGAAGAAGCCCAAGAGACGAGTGTAGAAACGTGAATCAGAGTGATAGTGCACGCCCTGCAGCATGGGAGCGAGAAGCTCAGAAAAGCTCGGGGAGCAAGGTGTATCCTGATTGAATGCTTTGCTGTTTGAGGCCTCTGTTTGTCATGCTGATTCCTTCTGCGGCCTCGGAGGTTGGCATCAAGTGCTGTTGAGGATGCTTTGGCTCCAGCGGTTTGCAAGTCGCTGAGGAAGTGCGGTGCAGCATTCGGAAATGAGACCACGGTCCCGAAAAGAGCAGTACGACACCTCCGGGGCTCCTCAGGATTGTCTGCGCTGTCGACCTGTGGCCGTAGCGAGAGACTTGTCCTTGGTTCAGGTGGAGCCTCTGAACCATGGCTTCGATGGAGCCGTGAGCGTCTCATGCATTCGAAGGCAATGCAAGAGGCTCCTCTCGCGCCTTATCCTGCCAGGATGCGGCTCCCAGCTCGGTCCGACTGAAGGACGGCGATCAGAAGCAGCCGCCCTGACTTCTGGTGACACGAGATGCGCCAGTCATGTCCCGGTTGCCTCCACAGCCAAGGCAGGCCGTAGCATCCAGCCGTGTGCCCGAGTGACGGCGAAGCCATCGCAGCTCCACTGTCCAGTTTCTGTTGGTGCATTTTGTGCCCAGGTCTATCCGAAGCCAAAGACCTTCGTGGCACATCTCTCTGCTATGCTCTGCAACTTGCCATGTCACTGTCAGATTTTGAGGCTCGGATGCCGGGGACACACCGGTGGCTGCAGAGGGCTGAATGCTAGACACAAGCGAACCGGAGATGCATCCCATGGTCTGCCCTTGGCAACATCAGCATGCTTAGGCTGATGACGGTACGTCCGAATCGTTGGCTGCGAACTACTTCCTGAAAGAGGCTGAAAGCTATGAGGTCCTAAACCTCTCCAAAACGAGCTACCTGTCTAGAGGCCGGAGAGCTACAGAACCTTCAGCACTTTGGAGGTGGACCACTCGTGCCTGTGTCCTAGTTTGTTGATGGTCCGCGGTTCGAGAGCTGCGTCTGCGTGTCCAAACGCATGGTCGGAGTAGATTGCTTTAGGCATGTCCTGACTGCAGTACAGCCATATTTCTCAAGCGATCTGCACCGTTATAATTGCCTCCCGACAGCGAGTCTCGCCAAAATGCATTGTAGGACCACTGCAAGAGTCCAGTTTCTCAGTCATCCGTTCCAGTGTCTCAAAGCTTGCAGCCCAAGAGCTTTCCAACACACTCAAAAAGCGTTCAAGAGTAAGACTCGTGCATGATTAGTCGTATGATCTGACTCGTGCCAACCCGAACAATCTAGGCTACAAGGGCCATAGTCTATAGTGCATTTAACTATACAACGCTACGAATCTGACGAGAGATGCAACCTCATGGCGTTGCTTAGTTTGACTTGTAGAGTGTAGAGAACTCAAAGCTCCCAACACCCTCAGAAGCACAGCGACCCTCATTGCTGTGAGCCCATGGAATCACCCGCTAAACTTGCATTGTTGACGATATGCTTGAAAAGCATTCAGAGAACACCGCCAAACCTCGAAGTGTCGTGTTTCGTTGCATGGTAAATTACATCACATTGTGTGTCATGAGTTTATGGAACTTGTATAAAAACTGAAATTATGCTAGGCTTACTTTGTACGTAGGAAGCGCGTGCGTGCATTTTGCACACTCTGCCAATGCATACGTGTTGACACTTACATGGTGCGGTACCTCATTTCAAAGGAAGCCTGAGTTACTCAAGTTGCTTGCTGGATCGCTTTCGCCAGAGATCTACGAGGAAGCCCGAAGCTCCATAAAAGCTCCTGGGGGTCTCGAGTCAAACTGTCACCAGCCTCGATTGCACGGTAAGCACACGTGCCGGCGGTACGCCGATATACATTCGTGTTGCTGTAGAATGGCATTGTTGACTGAGGCGTGCCCGCAAGAGGCACGTGTTCAAGACGGGTGCAGTGTACGATGGGTGCCTGGCTCAGTTTGATGGCGTGCAGGTATTTTTCAGCGCGGTGTGCTTGCACTTGCTGGCTCCCTGGCTTCCTCTGCCAGGCAGTGGCTAGGAAATGCTCGAGATGGCCTTGGCAAACAGACTTGGCCGGATGGTGCAGCTGGCTTGATTGCTCTTCACTCCGGCTGCCGTGCTCAGAGTGGTTTACAGCATGAGAGGTGCCGAGTACATCGGTGAGTGGAAGAACAACGTGGTGTCGTGAACTGAGAGTACATAGACTCTGCTTTGCGCAGAAACCCTGTGCAGTTCTCTGGACTGCTCGGATCCTGAAGGACTGGTATGGGCAGTTTTGCCCATGGAGATGGAGATCGCTACATTGGGATGTGGAGGCCCTGTGTTCTTCACATCTCTACTTCTTGAAGGCCTTGCATTCTTGGATCCCGATGCATGGTACATGCGGTGTGTTCTGGGTCTGTCAACGACCTCCGGCTCATGCCACATTCGGGCCCACAGCTGACCCGTAGAGTCGTTTGATGCCAGCCAAATCAAGACATCTTGTTCGTGTGAGTCGGGAGCTTTCTGAATTCGACGGCTTCTGAAGAAAGCGTCTGTTAGTCCTGGCCGAATCGGTGCCACCGACTTTGTTCACCCTCCTTCTTGAAGATAAGCCTCCAAAGAACGCTGGTTTTGCGATCATGATCTTGACTTTGGAGCGCCCGTTGAGAAATGTGAGGAGCTGAGTGGGATGAAGGGCCCTTCTGGATGTGAACGCACTCAGTCACCCTTCTGCTCCCAAGGCCTTGAATCAATGGTTCCGTGGCATGGAGCCATGCTCCAAACGCAGACGCCTGCATGGTACTATCGAAAGCCAAACTGGCCGAGTACCGAGGCCGTATGAGATCCTTCGCAGGAGTGCCCTGTTGGCGCTTGCTGTGGCGCTGCCGCAGTTGCCGAGGAAAAAGTGACGTGCAGGGAATCAGATGGTGACGCCAGGTGAAGCTCTTGGCGCGCCTCAGATGGATCATGAGGCACTGCGACAGTCCAGAATGCTACTTGTATGAGGATTATGAGGTCAGATTCGGTCAGATATAATTAGAAGCAGCTGTTGCAGAGATGCCAGTGAAACTCTGGCATGTATTGTAGGCAACCATTGACAATCATTGGCACAACAACCGCATGCAGCTTCTTGAGTGGCCTCCATCAATGAAGGCCATCCCGATAAAGCCCAGGAGCATTCATAAATTGGCACAAGCACTTTAGCCAAAAACCCGTGCAGGCACGAGGGCTTGAAGGCGTTCTTCTTGGGTTCGGAGCCCAGTTGGCCGAGGTGAGGTTCTTCGATCGATCTGTTTCGCTCTGAGACCTTGTGATGCCTTACCTGAAGAAGCTGCCGATGGCAAGCTCCTCAGCCCGAACGGGACGAGCTTGTGGAAATTCCGCGTGCTGCCTTGTCACGTGAGGTTCAGGCGAAGCTCCAGAAGGAGATGCTGAAGACACAAACCGACATGAGGGCCGCCTTCTCCAAGGTGGGCCCCGACAGGAAGAGGAGGAAGAAGGAGCAGACATCAGCTGAGAGACTGCGCAGGATCTCACGGACCCGCGAACGCACCTGCCTGGCAAAGGTATCCCGGATCAGGCAAAACTTGGGATTCGGAGATGCGGACACTGGAGTGCTGTCTGTGGGCTTTCAGGAGATTCTGACGCTAATCGATCAGCGTAAGCAGCTGGTTGGGGCCTCAGTCGGGGAGATGGCTCTGCTGACAGGGCTAAGAGGCGACAGCGATAGCAGTGCGACCGCGCAGGACACCACACGCTGGACCTCCGGAAAGATCACGGGTGCCGTGTACCACGGTGGGCAGGAGTCCGGGGCTGATGACCAACGCGAGCCCGTCGCGAGCCCTTCGCGAGCCGCAGCTTTGAACTCAGCGAACGCTGGAGGCATTACGACTTTATTGGAAAGGTGTTTTCCAAGTGGGCATTCTGCAACCCCTTGCATCCGGACTTGCATCCGCGAACCCGCCACAGTTCTTGAACATTCGTCCGAGCTCAGCTTGTCAGCACCTCGCTCTTCGGGGTGCCAGGTCCTTGCGGCAGATGGACGCCGAGGTGCCGAGACGTCGCAACTGGCTCCTGCAAGCTGCGTTGGAAGCAATATCTCTTCAGGTTGTGCGGATGGTCATCAACTTGTACAATGGCCGCGAAGATGCTTGTGCCCCTGCCGCATCTATCAATCAATCTTCGAATCCGGCTCGGAAATGCCCAGTCCTGCTGGACGAAGGCGGGGCTTTCACAACTGGAGGGACTGAGCCTGGTGCTTAGCATGCACTTTTCTTGTCAAGTTCATTTGACCTAGTCTGTCCGAGATTTGTCCTAGCTTAAGGAGCATCCTGATGGCCATGAAAGCACATCGTGATTGGGGAGCTGCCGAAAAGGGCATTCGGGTGCGCCGGATGATGCGAAGCGGAACAGTTTCAAGGATTCTTACGCGACATTTTCTTCTGCAGGAGCCAAACATTGTCGTGTGCAACACGGCGCATGCCGCTTTTGACAAGGCGATGGCGTCCTGTCCTGAAGCCAACTGGTGACAATGTTCGCAACAAATTTCTTCTTTGCATCGTGGTCTCTGCGGAGCGCCGTCAGTCCGGAGCATGAAGAGATTCTTCTAGTTTTCTGGGAGGCGGGGAAGTATTTCAAGATCTTTGTCCGGCTCCCAAACTAGGGTTGAGCTGTCTGCAGCAGTTCCACCAGTTGAAAGGCATTGCTCGGCTCGAACAGTCTCAGGTGAAGAAGGCCAGAACCGACACAGACATGGCTGTGGATCTGAAGCACCTGGAGCAGCTCATCGATGGCAACACCGTTGCCATTGTAGGCCGCTCACCAGCTCGTGATAGCGTGCCCCACGTGACCTTTTGAGCAAAGCTCATCCGATCCTTGCCAGGCTCTTGTTGCCAATACGCGCATGGGACCGTGGATCCGATCGAGAGCATGGGAAAGGTGCGCTGCGAGATTCGCTTCCTTTCTAACTGGTGCATGCCTTTTCAGATCGCCAAGAAGCACAATGTTGGGCTCCACGTGGACTGCAGCCCTGCTGCATTCGGACAGGCTGCCTTAGCCACCTAAGCCACCTAAGCCATTTGCTTACGCTCAAGGTTGCTTGGGGGGCTTCCTAGTTCCATTCATGGAGAAGGCCGGGGGAGCCTGTCCACTCCAGAGCGGGGGAGTTGTTGGAGCTCAGGCCGGCTACCCGCTGCCACCCTTCGACTTCAGAGTTCCGGGGGCTCCGAGCTCAGCCGCCAAGCTTCGGCTGTTTACGTGATCCAACTCTGCCAATCAAGGTCACATCAATCTCATGTGATCCTCACAAGTACGGCTTCGCTCCAAAGGGAAGCTCAGTGGCAGAATCCCCAGACTCTCCCACGACTGGAAGTCGGGCGTATGCAGCTGCGCGCAGCTGCTGAGGTGATGTTTTCGAGCCGGGAACTGCGCCACGCTCCCAACGCCACTTTTCAGTGCAGCATGCATGCTGCAATTCTTTGCAATGCTTACTTGGCCCTCCGACCATGCAGTACCGACAGAGGCGACGAATAGTTGCACATGATGCGAAGCCAAGCACACTTCCTGGCATGTAGCATGGAGCCTCCAAAGATCTTCTCGCTTGTGGTGTCACGTGGTGAAACATCTGCGAGAATGAAGCATGCCACCCGCCCAGGTCATCACATGTACTGCTACTTGACCGACTGGTCCGGAGGTATCTATGCGACGCCCACCATGCTGGAAGCTTAGCTTCACAGGCCCAAGAGCAGAGGTGGATGCCTCAGCCAAGGACAGGCTCACGACCTGGTGGCCCTGTAGCCGCAACGTGGGCTGCGATGTGCAGGCGCCACCCCAAAGTTACAGCCTGGACTCTGGACGCAACTCTCAGCCCTTCCTCAGGTTCGGTGTAGAAGGCTACGTCGAGACAACCCGGCAAATCGTCGGTGCTGCAAGGCAGATCGCAGAAGGCTCGGATTGTGGAGTCGCGATGCCCTTGATCGCGGCGTCTCATCCTCCTGGCCTCCCGGCAGGTATCAAAAAGATTCAGGGGATCCACGTGGTGGGGCGAGCTGAGGCGGAGAGCCCTGCGGCTGAGTTCATGCATCAAGTGAGCTCCAGGTGTGCGTGGTGGCCTTTGACACGGACGCAGGCGCAGGCCGAGAGCAGAGCTTAGGCTTAGGACCGTGAAAGCCCCCAAGAGAAGAGCGACTGCTAAGGCTTCAGCTGCTATGCTGTGGCTGACTGCTTGAAGCAGCTCCTAGCCCAAGCAGTTTGCTTGTTTCCTGCTTGTCATTGTGGCCCTTGCGACAGCGCAGCCCAAGGCAATCCGGCTGGGAACTGGCCACTTGCCGTTGCCTTGGTATTTCATCCTAGCCGTCCTAGCCTAGTATCAGTGGACATCAGTGGCTTCACTTTTTCAAGAACTCCAGTGCCTTCACAACCGCAGGCCAGAATCCAGCATGCGTTCATCTTGCAGTGCGATGACCTCAGATCTGGCCTTCTCAAGCCATGCTTGACGACGTTGAGTCTTTAGGACCCTGCTCACCGCCAAGAACGCCAAGCAGTTTCTCATTGATCTTGAGGCATGTTAGAGACACTGCTAAGTGACACGGAAAGGAATGTGGGCTTTCCAATGTCTTGGTGAAAGGCTGCAGTGCAAGCGGTGCAAGCAGCTCGAGGAGATCCGGACAAGTTCAAAAAAACTGCCGGCATGTACGGTGAGAGCCTCAGCAAGAGCCCAGATCCGTGGCGTGGGAGAACGATCCACAGTGATTTGAAGCAAAAGCAACAAGATTGCCAGCCACAGTGGTACAGAAGTGCTCAGATTCGCCACTCGTCTGAGTGGAGTAGAAGTATTTATAGTTGTCGTCCTCGTCCTCGTCATTGTGGAATCGTCATTGTCGTCGTAGCAGAATCCAAGGAAATGTGCAATCCTACAATGGCAGAGAAATCTCAGATTCGGGGAGAAAGCCCTCGCTCTTCAATAAGATCAATCCAGGGTGGCATCAGTTCAAACTGCGACAATAAGTGCCCACACGCACTGCGATTAAATCAGTGAGAAGAGAAGAGGCTCCCGAGCACTCTATCAGCTAGTATTTGCCAAAGCATGAGGTAAAGTGTAATCTCCAATAGAGGTAGTGCGCGAGTCAGTCAGGTCGGCTGAAAAGTCTCGTGACAGGCATGGCTGCCACTCTTCCAGCTGCATTCATTGAGGATGCTGCCAGCGCCTTACAGCTGCGGGGAGCTCTAGAGCTGGTCAATCGGACCAAACGCTTCATGGGATGAGTATGCAGCAAGCGTGATGTCACCAGCTGTGTAAGGTGTATCCTCAGTATCCTCGTGCACCTGCGAAAATGCGCAGCTCCATCTGTCATGTGTTGAATGATCTATCACACGTCCATGTGTGGACAAACACAGACATACATGTATATCCTGTATATCTTTGTACTGTTACCTTCGGATGTACATGCACACACACACAAACGCACGCATAGGTGCATACATGTATTCAAAAGTTCAAAGGCATGTGCATGTACATTGAGCATTGTATAACTACAAACAGCCCAGCTGTACATGTAAATATACTGTAAATACAGTCTGATAAACGAGCAACTAGGAGGACGCACACGCATGTGTTTATGTGTGTATTATATATATATATGTATGTATGAACAAAAGCCTAGATACACATGCCCACACATGCAGACATGCTCGCTTGCATATCTCCTTGCATACACATATGCCTACAACAAACACTTGGTTCCGCGTACAGACTGATTGTCATGTCGATTACAGCTCTGCCTGCCTCCCACCACGAGCTTCCCCTCTGCAGCGCCTGTCCAGGTCGGGGCTTACGTGGATGCCATGTCCGAGGCTTACGCCGGGCCAGCGGCGGCAGCTTGAGGACACGATGTTCCGAGTATCTCCTGGTAGCGAAGCTGAATCCGAAAGGCTTGCGTAGCAGAAGACAGTTTGACAGCATATTCTGTTGGCACAACGACGCCGGACCTACAATGTCCCAATTGCTGTAAGCCTGACGTCCCAGTCCCAGCGAGCTGGCTACTGCCAGTAATTGATTTCCAGCCAGCCAACGAAAACTTATCCAGGCAGCTCCTGACGAGTGCATCTGCAGAGAGCGTACACCCCTTCGTACACTCAAGTATCGAAGATTGCTGTTCAGAATATGCAAACCCCGGGCCGACAGATCACCAGTACAGAAGTCTTAGGATAGGCCTCACGAGCCAGGTGCCAACCAGTTTGAAAAGCGACATGGCTCTGCTTGATCTTTTTGGTCAGGACTCGAATGCGAAGCCCTGTTGCGCGATGACATCGCGGGTCTCGTGTAGCTCGTTTGCTGGCTGGGTGCTTGCGACACAGGATGTATCAGTATGGCATTTGGCCTCCGAAAGTTTAGCTCCTGTGTCACTCGCACTCCAGCAAGCAGCCTGCGAAGATGCTCGGACGTTCCCTGCAGCTGGGCCGAAGCGTGTGCTGTCCTTGAAGAGGTGGCAGGCTGCTAGGCTTGTACAGACGCCGGGTTCATGCAGAGCTGCTAGATTCGAGTCACGGAGATAAAATGGGTGCCTTCTCCTGTACCTTCTCCTGTCCGGCCTCTATAACAGACATGCGCTCAAAGCTCCGACAGGGACAACCTGGCCCATGGCTATGGCACCTATGTCCACCAAAACGGAACGGTGTATCAAGGCTGTCAGCTGCAAGTGATGCAGTGGATGCGGAGGAAGGGATGTGGATGCTTCCAGCCAGGACAGTTCCGAAATGATCTTCAGGCCTGCAGCTTGTTGTGACAGTACCACCACTACCACTACTACCACTACTACGAGACTACCACTTCCACTACTGCCACTTCTACCACAACTGCCACTACTACCACGACAGCAAGAACTACTACTACGGCGACGACGACGACGTCGACGACGACGACGACGAGCACTATATCTGTTACTACGGCTATCGCTGATGCTGTTACTCTTGGTGTATTGATTGTTCTTACTATTGCTATTCCTCAAACAGTGTGGTGACGCCATGGTGTTCTGTTCTGTGTTCGTGTGAGGTGCGTGCGGCAGCCGGGAACACCGAATTCATTGTAAATTCTACTACTTTGGCACTCTCGACCCTGAGGAATCACATTTTTGAGCGTTTCTGTGCAGAAATGGTGCTCCTGTGACAGTCCTCTACTCGCTTTTTGCCTTCAAACCGCTCGGAGTCTTTGAACGCCAAGAGGCTCCTCGCAGCTCATCTAAGAGGTGCAGACAGGTTAGGGGATTTCCACCCTCTAAACTTCGGGCTACGGCTTTTGGTTTGCAAAGATGTTGTCATGGTTGAGGGCTGTTAGTCTTTGTGGGAATCGGCCGTAAGGGCTTGGAGGTGTGATCTTCGGGATTTTGCTTACGAAGCAGGGCATGCAGTCCCGCACCCTTTTTCGGGTTTAGGACTTGGGGGTTCGATCTTCGAGGGTTTGAGGCCTTTGCTTCCGGGGTCGTATTTTCGAGACTGAGTTTTAGGGTTGCAGGTTTAGGGGTTAATCCCCCTCCGAGTCAGGCTTGCATAGCTTCCGAGAGCGAGCGTCGCGACGCGAAGCTTGCATGTTCTGCAACATGCAGAAATAGGTAAACAGCTTTGAACACAATGAGTAATCCTCGACAGTCGAAATGAATCAGCACGCGCACCATCAATTGGACAACTCAGATCAACTCCTGATATATGTATATGTGGTCACCATTCTCTATATTTACGTACCGTGTTTGTCCCCGACCCGTACGAAGAGGGACTCCTGTTAAGCTTCATGTCTCGTGCTTCTCCGCACTTGCCTGTCCCGGGTTTTGTGAGAATCAACAGTGCTAACCAGTCTGATGAGCCGTCGACGAAGATGGTCCTACCTCTGGCGTGCCGACGGCATGCGGATCACAAACAAGTGACAACAAGATCAACAAAAACTAATGGGGGGCAGGGGGAGGGGGGTAATGACATTCTTGTTTCGTGCTTGTTCTTCGTTCGTGCCGCTCTTTCATGGGACAAATCTGGAATGTCTCCACATGCAGGCTCTGGTCCCTGTTGCGCATAATACTGTTCTGAGAATAAAACATCCATGGCCCATTCGCTCGCATCTATTAACACTTTTTGTTGCATGGAGTCTGGGTTCTGGATCGGCGTGGCGCGAAAAACTCATGCTCCACTGCTTCCTGTTCATCCTGACTGTTCTTACCGCGACGACGACGTCTGCTGTTACTAAGTAGTAGTAGAAGTAGTAGTCCACTACTACACTAGTAGTCTTACTCTGATTGTCACTATCGGTACTGTTCGTATTACTTTTAGTACTGTCATTATAGTTGCGAGTATTACTATGAGTATTTTTGCTATGATTGTCATTTTGGTTCTTATCCTTGTCAGTTCTATTGCTAATATCAGTAGTCTTAGAATTGTTAATGCTATTATGCCGGCGCAGTTCCCCAAACAGCGAAACAATACAGAGGAAGCATGCCGTTGTGACCAGGACGTTACGACCACTGTCACGTGTGAACAGGCCTGAATTGCTCTGGAAAACACAAGTCGAAGAACGACCACGCCGACATGGACGACAACGACCAGCCCAAGTATTGGCGCACAAACCACGCCTCGAATGCCTTCCCCAAAGTACTGGCGGGATTCAGACACAATTGAAAGCACTACGAGTAGTGGCGGCTCGAGAACCAGCGCGAAAGTATTTTCTGCCAGTACTGGCGCGTTTAGGGCGCAGGCGATTTATGTTTCCCCGCATTAGCTTGCGAGATTCACAGTCACAGGCATGCTGTGTAAAGAAACCCGATATGCAGTAAATAATAGGAGGTGGGCAGCTCTTTTTTTTGGGGCGGGTTCTGTTGGTGGGAGCCACTCGGCATCTGCGGAGATCGGAACGATACTTTCTGCAAAGACAAGCGGAGCTATCAGAACTATAAAGTGTGAGGACTTTAACCCGAGAAGCGCAGGGTTCGGCTGTGCACCGTTCATCTGTTCGGGGGACTGGCAGGACATGAGCGGAGCTTGCCTCCAAGTCGCTCCATCAACAGTGCTCGCAAATAAACTGCCCAAAGCAAAGTCGGCATTCTACACATTGGTTGTCACAAAATACCGGGAAGTGCCCGATGAACTGACATGTGCTGTTGTTGCATGCTTCTTCTGCTTGTGACCGTTACTGTCAGTCTGTTTGTTGAATTATTGTTTCCTCATTGGTTTTGTACCGAAAGCATTCGATGTCTATCTTATCTACTTGTCTCCCTCTATGTTTTTTGTGCGCCTGTGTTGTGTGCATGTTTGCGCTCTCTGTACTCTCGCATATTCTGTTTCCGCTGTCCAGGATGGCTTTGGCACGGAGTCATGGCCCGACAAGTCCCGATTTATCGGAGAGTTTTCACGTGGCAAAAAGAGCGGCAGCGGCGTCTCTTCGGCATGTTTTGCCCGAGGCGCACTGCAGTACCCGTGCCTTGCCATGAATCGTTGCGGCTATCCGCAGCGTTCACTATGGTCGGCCAGGAGTACCAGTGGCCAGATGGGTCAAAGTACCAAGGGCACCGCTCTGAGAAAGCCTTGCTCTGTAAACTCGGAGTGGGGGCAGCCGTAGCTCCTTTCGCATGTATGGTGTGCAAGCAATCTACACTCTCTTCGAATTCGCAAATCAGGCAGTGGTGCATGAACATGATCGATGGTTTTGGCCCCCCTGGCTTTGAGACTACTGCGGATGTACGCATTTGCAAGTTTCTCGGCGCCAGGAATTTACATGGGCGTTGATGGGCGCGAGTACAGAGGTAGATGGATGGCCCAGCTCCTGGCTGCTGTGCCCATCATCGTCGTTGAAGGGGCTGCTTGCGTCAAACATTCTTGCAGCCAGAATGTCGAAGGCTTCAACCATGAACGGATGCGGTCGCTACAAGTGGGTCAGGAGCTGAGCACAGCAGCACACAGCAGCTGGTGGGTCTGTATCTGTTCGCCCGACGAGATGCAACTATACGAAATACGAAGAGGAGAGTCATGCTTCCAGCCATGTCAGCTCAGCCTCAAAATTAGTCATTCTCGTCGAGAAGGGCAAGGAGTCAGCTGACGACGTAGCGATTAGCTGTTCATTCACTCATACGACATACCATCGCCCTCGTCCTTCGAAGATGAGCTATCTTGATTCGGTGAAGTTGTTTTGGGCTGCGTTCGCATGAGAAGTATAAACTGTTCAGATCCAGCAGAGCCTTGTTCTCTCATTGCATGCTTTTGTCTTCATCTTCTCATGCGATCCAGCCATGTTGGACTTGCGCTGGGCCTGCCGGTGTCCAACGCATGGCTGGATACAGGGCATGTCCTGGTGGCGCAGATTGCCAAGATGCATTTGAGCCCACAAGAAGTTCAGAAAACCGAGAGGATTCTCGCAACATGGAGTGGCGACTTTCCTGGGATGTCAGATTTCGTCAACAGCGCAGTCTGGCCGGATCACATCAAGTGCCTTCGAAATGACACGCTCTATTGCCGCGGCTTGCCTGCGACGGCACTGAATGAGCCTCTGGGCAGCAGACTTTCACATGAGCCGATTGGGGAGGGGCAGGCAGCGTGTCGCGGCTTCAGGTTTAATGCATGGCACTTTGTTGACGTCGACTTTACTCCAGACACGCGGCTTATGGGATAGCTGACAGGTTGTGTTTGAACTCCTTGTCGAAAGCGGTCCGAGTTTTCCTAGTCTGTGCTTTCTGAGGATCATCTGGCGATTGATGAAAGGAACCCGTACGAGGATCCGTCCGCAGTTTGGGCTCTGACGCAAGCCATGCGCCCCTTGCCGAACTGGAAAGACGCTTGTGATGGCAGCGTTTTCAGAAGGATGGCATCGCGTTGACTTATCAAACGTTATCAAGGAACCTTTTACTCCTCACGCTCGAACTTTGCACTGAACCTCATGCTGCGTTTTGCTTCTTGGATCTGAAAAGGGTGCATCGGTTCACGGCTTCATCTGCGGGTCTGACCTGAGGCTCTCCACATCGTCGGAGATGCACACCAGCCGCTCCATACCGCTCAAGGCGTCTTCAACGATACAAGATTTGGACATGTTCTTGCGGATCGTGGCGGAAATTTGATCAGGATCGAAACCTCTGCTTAGTCATGGAACTGTGCTCACCCGAAACTTGCTGTCGCAACCCTCGGAGGATCCAGTCCAACTGGAGCACGCTGACGAATCTCCATGCTTTCTGGGATGCGGCGGGAGGTATGTATCTGGATGAGTGGCCATATTCATCTTCGCAAGAGGTTGCTGGCATGCAATACAGGGCTGCTCGTCAATGGGACTGATTGAGATCAAGTTGTGCAGGCACGGCGCGACCGGAATGCCTCCATCATTGTAGGAGACCGCATCAACAAGCAGAGCTGTTGGCACCGGTGATCTCGGCCACATCGAATGCTTGCAGGAGACTTTCCAAAGAGCAGTCTCCAGGCAGAACTGATGGTTTGTGGCTGAGATCAGATGGCGTCAACCAGACATCAGCTCAGATGACCACGGAGGAATACCAGGCCGAAGACATGGACTGCTTTCTCATTCCCAGCGATTGCATGAAGGCCGCGATTCTGCAGCTCGGTACTTGGGCGGTTTGGAACGGAGCTCCTTATGCGCAAGTTCGTAACGTGTGCTTCGTTGAGTTTCCTGCAGACAAACTTGCTCCTGATTCGTCGGGCAGGTTTTCAAAAAATGGGTGCAGGAAGCACATATCCTAGCAGTCCAGCATGCGTACGTTGGTGTCCGTGCCGGTGCACCGGTTTCGGATGCAGTGGCCGCACATGGGTCCTGGTTCTTCTTGTGTCGTTCATAGTGTTTAGACACGCTTGAACCCAGCTGACCAAGGACACATACGTTGCCGAGGTTCGACAGATCTCAAAAAGGCAGCTTGCTCTGGCCGGATACCGCTTGGCAGACCTCCTGAGAGTGGCCCCTTGGCTCATCGAAGTCACGCGGGCAATGTTTGGGCTCTTGCCGAACCTGCGAGGTCCTTCCTCTCTTGCCGTCACCTCCTGCAGAATCCATGAGCTTTGCGAAGCTCGACGAGCACGCGAGCTTTCAGCAGGTCTGCGGGGTCGATGTCCGCAAGCATCACTGAACGTTGGTTCACAGTCTGCTTGAAGGCCGTTCTGGTGATTCTTTGCAGCCTCGAGTCTCTGCTGCTTGCAGTCTTAGCAGCGGGGCGGCGCCCAAGCTGAAGTTGGCTTCTTAATTCGACCTCGTAGTTGGCAACTGCCTGGGATTTTCGGTTCTCCTGCAGCTTATCCTTCGCTACTGGCTGTTGACTGCGAGATCACCCAAGAGAGCACTTGCAATGCCTCGGTTTTTCAACTTTGCGCTAGGTGCAGGAGAAGGTGTGCTCGGTCCCACAGCCGCCCGTGCGATTTCGAGGGTGGAAGTCCTCTGCGGCTTGGTTCTGGATTGCTGCAGATAGGATAAGTTGCTTAGGAGGATGAAACAACGTCTAGAACATGTCAGTTACGGAGTGCCCGTTTTGATGTTTCTCGTGGCAGCCGGATTCAGGCTGCATGTCTGATGGTGTCCGCTCGGCTACTGGACGGGGCGATTTGTGAACGATGATGTGACACCAAGCAATCTCTGGTAATACAACATGTGTTGTCCAGATGCCTCGGTTAGACGACTGCAGATCGCGGTTTCACCCGGCTCCGTCAGGGGGAAAACAGCTTGCGATTGGCCGGATTCCCCAAGAATGTTGGAGGGTTTGAGACGAGAGCTGCAGGTGGACGGCCGCTGCTACCAGGCCCGGAGAAGATCACAGAACCGCAGCCCGCAACTGTGAGCGTTTCTGGGCAGGGCCAGTACGCGCGCGACCAGAAGGATGGCTTTGGCATCTTCAAGTGGGCACCGGCCTCGCAGCAGTTGCTTCAGCAAGAAGCGGGCACTCTCTGTGAACTGCTAGGCAGATGGGCGACGCTACGAGGGCTACTGGAGCAAAGGCTGTTAGCAGACATCGCAGAAGCCCGTCTTACGAAGATGCTCGAGCAGGTCGACAACACGGCATCGGTCGCTTGTGCAATTCACAGGGTGCCCATCGCCTGGCCCGGCAACGAGCCCAGTGCAGTCACAGCAGCAAGGCGACCTGCGCCTGCAGAAAGCCTCATTGGGAGGCCCGAAGACCCAAACTGGCCGAGGTGGGAAAACGGAGAACGCAAAGAATGGTTGGAGGAGGAGCAGAATGCCCCTGACATGGTGCAGGTACGTTCCCGGGGTTTATGCGGGGTTTATGCTTCATAAGCAAAGGCGCTGCTAGCTTTGCTTAGCTTTGCTTTGAGACCTGGCAGGCGATGCAACCACGGCGATAGTGCTTCCGTACAGCAAACAGCTGCTCGGGAATGAATGAGCATGCAACACGCGGCCTCCTGATATGTTTCACCGGCAATTTGCGCGAGCTGCGCATCTGCTGAACATCTTTTCGAGATTTCCAGGGTAGCAATTCACAACTTGCAATTGTAAGCACACAGCTGCAGTGCATGTGCTTCTGTCGCGATGCGCTCACGTTTGCCTCACAAGTTGTAGCCAACAGATCGCACATCGAAGGCTAGGCGGTGCATCAGGCAGACTTGCCCTGACTTTGTAGTGGATAGGTCTATTACGCCTGATACTGGCACCTCATGTGTCAGTCAGTCAATGAAATCCGTCACCCCCCCGCACAAAACGTTCCATGCTCAGCATCGCAGAGCAAAGGAGCGCTTTCTCCTGTTGTTTGTACCGCTGCGCTGCTTCGGCCTACGCAGTCGGCGGTTGAACTGCTGTCGTCCATGTGATCAACAGTTTCTTCACATATTTAGGAAGGTTGCAACCATGTTGGTCTCCGTTCAAATCCAGACTTTTATACTGTCAGCGTCGTGATCGTTGTTGCTTTTTGTTGCTCATCGTACGATCTCATCCATTTGCATCCGTTGTGCTAATGTTAATGAGCACTGCAATCCATCCCTCCCCATCCTCTGCTGTGCTGAGTCACTTTGAAGGGGACTCAGGCCTTGTGCTCGTGTCCGGGCTCGAGCAAGATCTCGCTTATCGCCTTGTCATCTTACCGCATATCCAGCTCGGATACATCATGGCCATGAAAGCTGCAATCATAGTGGCTTTCTTGACAGCTTTCGAGGTTTCTGCTGAAACCGCCGGAACGGAAGAAGCGTGCCAGTCCGGGAGCCTTATCAGCAACGCCTGGGCTCATCTCACGCCGTGCTGGAGGAGATGGAGGCGCCCCTGGACACCGTAAAGACCTTGAAGCCCAAGGAGAAGAAGAAGGTTGAGAAAAGGAATACGTTGGAGAAGCTGCAGAAGTTTCTCGCAGAATCGAAGATGCAAGTGCGTGAGCCTCCAAAAGGCTCTGAATGCCACCCGACAGGAGCTCTGCTTCTTCTGCCTCAGCCAGAATCACCATTCTGAGGAGCTGCGCTGGTGGGCGAGAGCAGGGCGAAGTTTGAGCTTTTGTCCCAAAAGGCTGGACCTGTCGTCGAGAAGGACTACAAAACCGAGAAGGCGAAGAGAGCCGCTGATGAGTACCGGAAGTTCCCGTCTTGAAGGGCATTGGGAAGACGCCGTTGGCCTCCAAGGTCCTTGATGCCTGGCAGGCCCACGTCATGCCGCCAGCCGTGAAAATAGAGTTTGTTTCCTCGGTGGGCATCGCCACGTGCTTGCCGCATGATGATGTTCATCCATGATTCTTATTGAACTTTTTTTGCAAAGCTACGACGTTTGGACGCCAGACCAGGTACAGGAAAATGTACGAGCAGGACTGCGAGACGCTCTTCGGCCACTTTCGGGAGCACGACCCCCACAACCAGCAAATTGACGAGGGCCGTCTGGAGCAAACAAAGCAGCAGATTTGCGAGTACTTCGGCGGGGTTGGGCCAGGCCATCAAAGGCGAAGACATTGGTTTTTGTCCCAGAGCACGGACATTGCTGAGGCAGCCAAGGCCACGAACCACACCAACGCCAAAATTCAGCTGAGTCATGAGCTTGTGACAGAGGACGTGCACTTGATGGTGCTTTCACAACAGGCCGGGCGGACGGACGTCAGTGTGACCACGGATGCAGAGCCTGAACGAGCCTAATCAGAAAGAAGCGCTCCTGGCGTCCGACGCCCGCCTGGTCCTGGTGGCGCAGAACGTCTTCGGGGTTCCGATCGTATACCAGAGAAAGGCTGAGGTGATGAACTTCTTCCAGGGCTCTGAGCATGCCGCCGCGGCTCGAGAGTTCCTGTCTGTGGGCGGAGGTGCCTTCATGATCGAGGTCCCGCACGGCATGCCCCACCCGCGCATGGGAATCCTGATCTTCGAGGTGAATCCCGACGGCAAGATCCAGAACATCAAGGTCTGGACGAGAGATCTGCGGGACGACACCGCTGACTTGAACGACAGCGGCTTGACTGGCGTCGCAAGCCTGACGCAGCTCAGGGGCCTTGCAGAAGTGTTCAGTTCGTGTAGACTCCAGGCTTTTGCAAAATCATAAGTAATCAACTTGGTAGATCCGTTTGCGCTGCAACTGGCACGACTGAGCACACAGAGTGCTAGCAATCGGGGTTGCAGAGGGACGGCTACTCGTGGGCTGGCCATGGTGGGCACCCGCCTGCAGCCAGTGCTGTCGAAGAAGGTGGATGATGTATGGACGTTTGCGACATTTTGCGGCCTCAGGGAACGGAGTGTTCCGAGAGTTTTTCAGCTTGCTTTCTTCGTGCATTCGCCGGCCGCTGTCGGCCAGGTACCTGAGAGTCGTGCCGTGCCATGACTTCGAAGCTTGGGCGTGTGTGCCGAAGACTTGTTTCAGATCTGCAATATTTTCAGGGAGTTCGCGCTGGCAGTTTTCAAAGGAGGAGTTCCCACTGGCAGCAGAAAAGAAAGGACTGGCACTCGTTTGCATCTGAAGAGTCGCAACCGCCAGGGCTCGAAATTGATGCTTCCTGTATTTCCTGTTTTGCGGTTATCGCTTGGCACAACAGGCTCAATAAGAATGGCCAAAGTGATGCTGGTGGTGAGGCAGAAACAACCCCGGACAACAACGACAACATCAGACCAACAGTGCCCATAGGATCCCATAGGCCCCGGGCGATGCGAGGCGCCGTGGGCTCCGTGCCCTCGGCTCTCCTTGGGCCCAATGCCGCAGTGGGAGGCGTTTGGTGTAGGTGATCTGAAGTTCTGAAGCGACCGAGTGAGGTCGCTAACGGAACTCATCTCATGTCCTTTTGCGGTAAACGAGAGTCCGAGAGCAGGTTATTGGTGGGTCCGGCACCGGCGGGCTCCTCGTAAGACAGGGCCAGGACAGCTTGGTTCCTTCAGTCTCTGAGTGCCAGTGTGGAGTCAAGTGACAGTGGTCTCACCGGTGCATCGCACTGCGCCTGTGCACCTTGGCTCACAGCCTCTTGGCTGAAAGACGCCGACACGAATCGCTCACCATGGAGATGCAGAACGTGCATATGCAGGCCACGGACATGATGCTTGCTCTCTTCGCAGGTGGGGCAGGGTGAGAGTGTTCCAGTCAGACACACACACACACACCATCGGTCACTCCCTTTTCGCGTGCTGGTCACCTGATCTAGCGAGTGTGCTGCAGATGGAATTCATTGGCTCACTTGCATGGTCTACGAGTTTAGCGGTTCAGCGCAGGTGTGCCTCCTGTTGACTTGACAATGTCCCAGCAGGGTAGAAAGAATATCAACAGTCAAGTTCCCACTGCGCCGCTGTGAGGCAGTCCCGCAATGCGGGTTCATGGAAGGCACCTCCTGCATCCGGCCATCTTCCATGCTATGCGGACGTTCACGTGCGCAGCAAATATCCCGAACCACGTGCCAGCCAAGACACAACTGCCGAAAATGATGTCGGAGGTGACGTTTAAATGCGATGCCTATGAGACGGCTACGGCTACCGGCATTACGGTTGAGCAGCCGCGTGTAGACCGTTGCTGCTCCTCACAGGACCAGGAGCAGGGCATACACGATGTGATCAGCGCCTCACCTTCCAGCATTGCTATGGCAGCACTGGCCTTGAGCCACTCTGAAGTCGACAGGTTGGGCATGCTCAGTGCTTCCCCGTCTTTCGAGCAGCTCTTCGGCTACTCTCGACAGGAGCTGTTGGGCAAAAACGCAACACGGCTGCTCTGTGATGGCCATCTGGATCCTTCATTTGAGCTTCATCTGGAGCTGGCCTCGAGCTCAATGCGACCAGGAGTCCTTCCAGTGACCTTGCGCCGGAAGACCGGTGAGCTTGTAGACAGTTTAGTCTTGATCAAGAAGCTGAAGACGTGGCCGGACATGCTCCTGGTGCTCTATGTGGATAGGATGGCGTATCCAAACGCTGAGGAGCAGCTCCTTGCCCAGGCGAGAAAGAATCGATCTGAGCTGGCATTGGGCTCGCAAATTGTGTTTTGCTTTCTTCCACTTTTCCCTGCCTTTCCCATCGCCCTTCATACCCCTTGTCACAGAAGGCCAAAGCCTGGGACGACGCAGACAACCAGTACTGAGGGGCGACACGAGGGAACAATCTCCACGTTTACCTGAGCAGGGCTTGGAGCTCTGCGGGTGACCGGATGCAGCAGGAGGCAGTGATGCTTCAATCACTCCTTCAGGCCATGCTAGCTGGGTCTTATTAACTTATGGCTTGAAAAACTTGTGGGGTCGGTGGAGGACCAGATGATCATAGTGTCGCTTGATTGGCTGATCCAGCAGCGGCCACATTTTTGTAAGATGATTTTTGAATCCTCAAAGCAGCACACGCCATGCCGCGGTTCAGATCCCCAGCCTCACTCCCTCGCCAAGCCCAAACAGACCAAGGGAACCTCATGGCTTGTGCTCGTCGCATATGTGCGCCGTCCCCAAACAACGTGGTACAAGTACCTGTTAACACTACGGGGTTCTTACAATAGGCGTGTGGCACACAGCAGGTTTTCGACATGAATCGCGCTCCTTCCGCAGTCCTGCGCCGGCCCCGTCCGCGGAGAAGTCGAATCCACTATGCAATGCATTATACGTTGCCGCTCGCGAAGTTGATGAATCGCTTCCCGCCAAAAGGTTGTGCATCAGGAATTCGCCCGGCTTTCGGATCGCTCGAAGAGGCAAAAAGTGCCGCACTCTGAGGCTCCTAGCAGCTCCTGGCAGAGCCGTCCGTGCTTGGGGTGCGCGTTGCCTTCCTCACAGCCCCTGCATTTCCGCCTTCCACAATCGTGCTCCCGCCGCTCCGACTAGTGCCTAGTGTGGTGCTTCAGGGATTCTCCTGGCATGTTTCTTGGGTATAAAGGACTTGGGCTGCAACGTCTGCTAAGTGCACCCGCGCTGTTTGGTGGCTACTCCGGCGTCACTTGCAGAACGTGTGTGTGCCTGCCCTCATGCGAATATCCTGTGGCTGCGTAGAACACACGCATGACGAGCTTTGCCTTGGTCCGTGTGAGGACAGAGCACCTCAGAGGTGTCATTTAGACTAACATTTAGACAGATAGTTCGAGTTCGAGTTACAAATCCTTCACGTGACGTGAGCTTCGCCCAAGGTTTCGTCGTTGTGCTGTGTTTAGGGCATTCTCCTGATCAAGGCTCATGTTGCTTGCAACACGTATCCTTGGCGGAAGGCCTGACGTACAAGGAAGGATGGCTAAGCAAGCACGGATTGATGCTTCTGGCCCAACTTTTTGAAGTTTCCAGTACCTTCGCGAACTTTTGCGGTGCAGCTGCTTCTGAGACAAGAATTTATCAACGACCTGTCTTGAATGCATAGATGTCATGGCAAGCGCTGCGCACATACTGTCGCCCGCACCAGAGATCCGAGTCACCTAATGCGATTTTCGGATTTTTTGTGGGCATGCAGCTTTTCCTCTTTTCAGCCGGTCCCACTACTCCACTCAGCTGGAGGGCGGGGCTGTGCTGGATGAAGTCATTCCTTGGCCCATTAAGGGTGCCTTGCTGCTGACTGTTGTGTTTAAATACAGGGGTGTTCACACCCCGGCAGCGTTCTCTCCTTGTGTCCTGGCCGGTCTGACCTCCGACAGGACAGGATCTTTCTGTCATGCTCTCAAGGAGCAAGATCGGAAGTGGAAGCCTCGCCCAGTCTGTGACAGGCTGTGGCTGAGTCGCACACTTCCATCGTCCGTGGGTTAACTCATTGCCACCAGCCGTGGCAGCAGCGTTGCGGCCGCTGCAGACTCACAACTCTTTTATGGGGTGCAACGATGGAGAAACCTGCGTGGTGATACATGTCTTGCAATCCCCCAAGCTCCTGTAGGCTTTGTGTATGATGTGATGTTTATCCTTGGGATGGCCCCTTGTCAGGAGCTGAAGTCTCCTCAGCTGGATCGCCGTCTTGAGACTGGTGCTCTGGTGGCTTGATGCTCAGCCACTGAGCTCGAAGGCTCCGCTGTTCCTTCCGCGCGACTGAAGCTCCGCTCCCAGGAAGAGCTGCGCCTCGCGGGCGAGCGCTTGCACTACAAGCTCCTGCGAGGCGCATTTGCACATTGCAGACTCTGAGTGCGCTTGGAGTGAAATCCTCAAAAATTCTCGGAGGTCAGGGGCCTTCGGAAGGCGAAGTCTGGGCGAAAAGGGGATAAGGGGAAGGGGTCGGGGCTCTCTTTCCGGCTCTCTTTCCTTCTTTTGAGCTCTTGGAGCTGTCGAGTGGAGGTTGGGTGAGCGTCAAGGCATCCGGCAAGGCGCGCACGAAGCAAGAGGTTATAGATGGCTGTAGTGTGCTGCAAGAGGAAGCTGTTTTTCGACGTGTGTACACTTGGGGAGTGCAGGTCTTGCTCTCGCGCTTGGAAGAGGCTCCCACCAGCCCGCCACTGCCTTCAATTCAAGTTCGCAAGTTCTCAGGCTGTCGCGTCCAGCAATGCAAAGGACGAGAGCCAGCGCCTGGGAACCGCCTTTCGGAAACATCTAAGAAACATGCCGACTGAATCCGTGCTCAATACTGGAATCTTTCTCCAGGGGTCTCAGAGTAGAAAGACTGGAGCAAGACTGCAGCAACTCACAGACGCCACAGGCGACAAAACAGCATGGATTCGTGCATTTCGGGCCGCTGCAGAGCAAAGCCATGGTCACGGAAGTGTCGGAGCCGTGCGCATGCAAGAGTGGATGCTCCTCGGCTGAATCTGTTGGGTTCCCAGCACGAAAAGTCTCCAGCATCCGTTCCGTTTGTTCCGTCTGACTCATGGACGCTAGAACTGAGAAGCTGCTGATGTTTCACAAACTTGTAGCTTGTAACCTTAAGCGCCCAATCAGTTGCGTGCTCGCGAAGGGAGACTTGTGCGAAGCAAGGTCATGGACTAGACTAGAGTTTTACAGGTACCACCTGACGATTGTGATGTTGTCAAGCTGTAGCATACTAGAATTACGATAGTAGGAGCCCTGACCATGGCTTCCAGATGTTCTTCGGATTTCACACTGCTTGATCCATAGCTCCATGGGTCAAGCCTTCAAGCAGGACCAGTCAGTGCCTTATCGTTTTTCAAGATCGCCTGCACGCATGGCTGCAGCCTTGACGGCTGAAGCTCTGCGAACCCTCGATTTTGCCTACCCGGCAACAAAGGCGCTATGGGAGACTGCATCTATGGTATCCACCGCTGCTTCGACTGGTGCAGCCACAGCGGAGTTGACCGTCAGCGTCGTCACCACGGCAAATTACGTAAAAGAAGGAGGTGCGGCCATTACTGCGGCTGAAACACAAGCCCTGAAAACGCTGGGGCAGGCTGGTGGGGCTGCAGGTGGGGCACTGAAAGTTGCGGGTGGGGTTGTTTCGCTTGCTGTCGGAGTATGGGACATTGCCCAGGGCATTCACGGCCTCATGCAGGGGCATGGGCACCAGGACATGATGGCGAAGATCAACAAAGGCTGCGATGGGCTCTTAGCCCAATGCGAGAGCATGTTGGGGAATGCTCAGGCAATTCGGAATGAGGTTGAAAGCCTCCGCACCTGGGTGAAGGACTTTGATTGGCATTGCGGGGTGCACAATGACTGGCAGAATGGTGCCAAGATTGGGGCCGGAGCTGCTGGTGTTGCCTCTGGCATTCTGTTGCTGCTGGCGCCCTTTACCTTCGGAGCAACTCTCATTCCTGCCGCCGTCACGGGCGGCATAGCTGCCACGACCAGCATCACCAATGCCATCGCATCGGGGTTTGTGAATGCTGACCATGCCAGGCAGCTTGAGGAAAAGCTCGCAGTCTTGCGCCAGTCCATGGAGCATGTCTTGGAGCCGCGCATCGTGGATGTAGAAAACTGGGTCAAGAAACTCAAACCCCACATCTCAACAGAAGTGCGAGATTTCTACCAGAAGGACATTCCTGCAATTGCCAAGGCGTGCCTGCAGGCGGCTGGATGTCCGGGCCATGTCCAAGAATGTCGTTAATTGATTGCTCCGCATTGGAACCAACCGGATGACACTAACATACATCATGATAAAAGGAAGGGGCATGCCAGAGATGGGTGAGCCACCCAGAGGGGACATGGATGAACTCAAGCGGAAGCGGTTCCCTCGCTGGTATCGCGGCCACCTTTACATTGATGATGTTCTCAGTCACACAACCCGGTGGTATGACAACTATGCAGGCCTAGAAAAGGAGATGGTGCAGCTGGATCGAGGCCACGTTGTTCCTCGCAGACTCGGGGGTTCAGGAAGCTTGGACAACCTGTTTGCACAGAATCGACAGCAGAACCGGGGGGCTTGGAGGAGGGAAGAGGAGGCCATGATGAATCTCATCAGGCAGGCTCCTGAAGGGGCGAGAATTGAATGGATCATTGAGATTCATTTAGAGGAGACAATCTTGGACTGGTGGGTCGATTACTTCAGAGGCTTCTTCCTCATGTGACTGCCCCCTCAAGACCTGGGTGTGAGGACCCTCCAAACGTTACGAAGACAGTCGCATAGTCCTGCCTTGTTTAGTTCGGTCCCCGGGCCCCTGAACCCTAAACCCCCAGAACTTGAGACTCTTCGTAACGCGGAAGTAGGGGGCCGCTGGACTTGCACAGCCTTGCTCTTTCCTTTGTTGCTTGATTCACAGGTGTAGTGATCATGTTCTCCAACGAATCAGCCGTGCACTGCTTCTCAGAAAGAGCCGAAGATCTTCGCTTCGAAGTGTTGTGTGAGCACTCGTACTCATGAGAAGCAGGAGCGCGTGCAAAATAGAAAAGCTGAATGTCACACCCTTCCGCCATGAAGCAGGCGTGGCGCATGAAGCACAGGATTCAGTCAAACCCAAACCTTAAAAAGAAACGGCCGCCCGTAGCTTCACGGCGCTCGAGGGGTGTCATTTTTCATCGATGCCATTTAGGGCATCATTTCTATAGCTAGTCAAGATCCCGATGGGACTTGCCAAACACTACCTTCATGAGTTGGCCGTCCAAAAGAGAGAGTTGCGATCTCAACAAATAGGTGCAGCTGAAACTGCTGAAGCTGCCATTCCTAAAGCCGATCTCGCATTACTTGCGGTTTACGGTTTTGGGGGACGCGTTGCTGGAGTTAGGTCGAGAACAGCCATTGATGTGAATG